GTTTGTTGAGAAGTTAGGTATTGCCTAACGGTATGAAGTTCAGAGGAGCTAGCATTTTTATGGAAAGGAAAAGAATTTACTATTTGCAAATGGCACTGGGTACAAAGTCTCAAGGCTCCGTGAAATTAAATAAATTGTGAATTCATTATCTTACAACTTAGCATTTTTTCAATATAATGCTGATGAACACTGAATATAATTGTTAAACAGAAGTTACATTTCACTGGTATTTTTAGTTGGCATGAAAATTTGAGCAGAGTGGATTGTTAACCCCACAGAAAGTTTCTAAAGCTTTAGTAACAAGAATTCAGTCCTATTATTTTTAAACTAGTTCTTCTCGGGATCTTGGGCACACACGCACACACGCCCGGCGTGAGTTTAAGCCACCGGGTCCAGGACTCGAACCGTGGTCGACTACGTGGGAGTCCAGCGACATAGTCATTACACTAACTGCTGGTCCCTAAACTACTTCTTTAAGTGAAATTGACTGTAAAATACTCAGCTTTATGGTACTATGGTACTATGTGTGTGTGTATTTGTATATATATTGGGTTGTCAGGAAAGTCATGATACATTTTTTTGTGTAGAAAAACAGAAAAATATGTCATGACTTTCCCACTTAATGTTATACATATATATATACACACACACACACACACACACACATATACACACACAATGTATATACCTATATATACTATATGTGTATATATACACATATGTATGTGTGTATATTTGTGTATATAGGTACATACATGCATGCATGTGTATATACATACATGTGTGTATACATATATACATACAGTTTTAATCACAGTTTTGTTTTGTTTCACCTTTTAAATTTGTTAAAGGGTAAATGCACTGGAGAGAAAGAGAAAAGAAAAGTGAGAAAGTATCCCCCATTGGGGATTGTCACACCATAATCCCTTCTTCTCCATTCTCCCACCCCGCCCACCTTTTGGGATTGCAGCGTGCACGTACACATACCTGACTTGTTTCTTAGGTTGCTGAATCAAGGACTTCAACCACACAGCCAGCCATATAGAATCTAGTCACCTTAACCACCACACTACCAACTGGCCCATATCAAATCTCTTATAAGACACTGTTACTTAGCTAAGATTTTTTTTTATTGATAGCCTTTCAGATGGCACTGGTTTTGTTGTTTTTAGTTTTTTGTTTTTGAGGTACAACCTTTTCTTTTGTTTCCAAAGGAGATAGCTTCCCATTTCAATGAGCAGGTACTGTCATCCATTTATAAACAACCTACTTTCTATACAATCTATCAGTTTTACATTAAGGGTCTAGAGTATATAGGAATAATAAACAGCAACTGATGGGAAAGGAAAGGAAGAGAAAAAATAAAAACAAATAATAGGAAAAAGTTATGTATATTTAAGAGAGAAACTCTGCCAGTATGACCACAAAATTATAAGAAGACCTCTAGGTATCAAATATCAAAGTAAACACAAGGTACCTGATCTTGGATAAACCTACTGAAAAGAAAGGTTCAGACAAAAAAAAAAAAAAAAGAAGAAGCAAAAAGATAAGCTTCAAAAACTAAAAGCAAGCTATGTTTCTCACTCTTTAAATATATATATATATATATATATATATGTTAACTAAGAAAAATAAGCTTGATAAATCTTTGCTGAGAAAATTAATGAAGAGTAGAAAGTAGAATATATAAACTACAAGTCAATCCAGCTATTAAACTAATTAAAATAATATCTTAAGTGACAAAGAAGCACACCAGAAAGAGGAATCATTTAAATAAAGAATAAAGGTTCTTTATTTCCTCCAAAAGTCTTATTGAGGCATAATTTTCAAAGCACAAGTTTCAACTATATTAAATGTACATATACTACTTTTTAATAATTCAACAGAGTTTGCAACCATCACCATAATCCAGATTCAGATCCTTTCTATCTCCAGAAAAATCTCTCATACTCAGTTATAGTTATCACCTGTTCCCACCTCCAACCCCAGAAAACTAGCATCGGTTTTCTATTTCTATTTTTCTATTTCGTTTTTTTTTTCTAGATATTATAACATAAAAT